GGGATATTTGTCAGTCTCAGCACTGTTTGTTTACCACAACAAACACACGAGTCACTGCCTGACTCTCGTCTCTGCCTCCTTTCATGTAACGTGTGACCTTGTGAGGGAGCGTTCTGACCTCAACAGAAGCCTTATTGTCTTAACCTGAGCCGAGGTTGATATCGTGATAAAATCCCGAACCAGACTGCAGCCTGTTAACCCGCTCGCTAATGACCCGGCTCGGAAAAGTCCACGATCAACTGACTGCACAGTAGCTGCTCATCAGATTATCATGTGGAGTCTTATTCAAACTATACTTTTCATATAGTCTGCTACGTCTAAAACAACTGCCAGCACATTTGTATTCATGCATTCATATTAAATTTGTGATCACTGATGTTCCATCAAAATGTAAAAATGTTTCCGTAACACTGCAGCCATTATGACCTGAAGTTGGACACACACACACACAGGGGACATGTTTTGAATAGGGGGTGCAGCGGTCTTGAATGAACCAACACACATGCATGCATTATGTAGATAACGGCACCCAAAAAGTATGACAACAAGACAATAATCAAGACTTTAATGATCGTCTTCATGAATACTACAGCATGTAAATCACAGCAACGTGACGCCAATAAGAAAACAGTCTACTACATATACATTTTTAAAAGGGAAAATAAAAGTATTTATCACTGGTGGCATGGACCAGAAGGGATGAGGATGTTGTACACATCAGTCACTTGGTGCCCCAACTGCCCACTGCTATGTAGACACACACAGTAGGTTCCTGATGCTACGTTCAGTTTTAACATAATGTTTTAGAGCCTTAAAGATAGACCCAAGATTCAATATCAGCCACAGTCGATTGGAAACAAAACATGTAACCACCTAGAAAGCACACTTCCACAATTTCAACACAGTAACAATACAATAAATACAGCCGTGCAACCATATGTGAGGGAATGAGAACTGATCGTGGAGAACTTTCTTCATTTCTGTTGCTAATGACGGGTGCAAACTTGTTTCCTACATCAAAGTGATTAGAAAGAGTTATTAGCATATCCTACACAGAGTAAATCTAATCCACATCAGCCCTGAATGGAATCAGAAAATCAGTGTCAACCTCTCACTCAGTCCCCTCCTTCCTCCTCCTCCTCCTCCTTCTCTTTATTCCCTCCTTCTGTCCTCTGGAGGATTACTGCTGAGGGTTGAAGGACATGGATGGACAGATCAGAAGAAAAGGAGAGGAACAGAGTGGAAAGCAGTAAAGTATGTCTTAATACGACAGAGAGGGAAAGCTTACTGGTCAAAACCCACAGCCAGAAACCCTTTAAAATGAAACCTGCTCTAAACGAGGAGGAGGAGGAGGAGGCATGTCTTCAACTGTATCTCTCTCTGAAGGAAGGGCAGAGGCATGCTTATAAACCCACATAAACTAGACCAGAATGCTTTGCGGCTACATGACATGTTGACTAAATGATGTTGACTCTCACTTTGCACAGCTGAACAGACTGTCACTGCAGCGCCGCCATACCATGAGTCTCAAGTCTTTAAGGATTCAGAGGAAAACATATGAATGAAAGTCACTGCTGGTAAGATCAGGTTGTTGAGATTTGCTTTTACTGACGAAGAGCAGTCTGATTGGTCTGGGTTCCAGCGGAGAGACTTAGTGTCCAGAGATTTGAGTGTTGGAGGGAAGAACAAAAAGCCGAGAGAGAAGAGTTGTTTCACTCAGACAGAGAGAGAGCGGCTCTGTGGAGCGTGGAGGCTGTCTTTAATCTGGGACTTCTGGACTCTACAGCTGCTCTAAAGAGATGACAGCCTGCCGACACACACACACACACACACACACACACACACACAGCGTATGTGCTGCTGTGTTTGGTGGGTAGATGTCAGGGTTTGTATAATGAGGACTGGAGGCTGAGCTGTGGTCCTATAACAGAGACAAACACACTGTCACGCATCATCAGGAGGACACACACACTCACATACTGTACACCCGGACAGATAACGATGTAACGATAACTGATAAAGTTCATATGTCAGATATTTCAGGAGCAAACGCTGAAATACTCGGCAGGTCCTCATATTTAAAGGATGAAATGTGGTCCATCCATTTTCTGGTCTGTTGCTCCCATCGGAAGGATTAAGACATCTGAGCATTTTTCACAATTAAGCGATGAAAACTAGTTAAAGTTTGAAAAATCTCAAAGTTAAACATTGTTTAAAAGTAGCAGGAGGAGGAGACACAGACTGCAGGCTTTGGGTTAGCTGAAAGTTCTTTGTCAAATCCTTTTTTAGAGACAGTCATGAAATTATACATATTAAACAAGACTAAAGATGGGCAGTCTGAAACCATCCCAACAGTCTACAGCCGTGCTAGCTGCTCGGTAAGGGTGTACTTAACAACACTGGTGCTTCTGATAATCAATGATAATCCAATCTAAATTTAACTATTAGCAAATATTAGTATGCTAACATGTTATAATGAGGAGTGAACACACCAGTGGTTGCTACGAATGCCATTAGTTTTGCTGCTATGATCGTTGATATTCTGGCCTGATGATGGAGATATATGAAAAGTCGGAGGATCACCAAAGTCTGTACAATATATCCTGCGGGGAACATGAATGAATGTGCTAAATTTCATGCTAATTAGTCCAATATTTGTTGAGATATTTCAGGAAGCACCAACGTGTACTACCAACCGACAGACTGAGCTCCCGTCATTGTAACAAACCAGTGGCTTGAATAAAAGGCAGTTCTGCTGTTTTCCAAACTTGTGGAAATTGGTTGGTTGTGACTGTTTAGGCATGAACCAATAAAGTATATTGCATACATTGGGAATAACTGGAAAGCTGAGACACTTAATGCCACCCCAGCAAAGGTCAGTGCCCCACTGGTGCCACCACAATCCAAAAAGCCCGGACATGCTCCCGCTGTCAACAGTTTTACAGACATCTCATTTATAATGGTGATCTATGGGGGGGGAAGCTTTTTTGGGCTTCAGGGGAATTTTGTCCACTGGACAAAAGTCGAAATAGGGCCGAGCTGTGCTGCTGTATCTAGTTTTATAATATATCTGTGTTATAGATCTCTTTAACTTCCTGGAGAGCTGACAGTTACCACGTTTATTAAGAAACTCTTCCTGATATTCAGTTTGATTGCAGGAAGTTGATATCTGCAGTTTCCTGTTTCCACAAGAGATACTGTATATTGAGGAAGTAAGCATGGCACTACAGCATGGAAGTTAGCACTGACACATACTTTTTATTTGCTGAAGCGGAAACTAAAAGTTATCGTTCCAATCAGGAGCACAGGACTAAACATCCGTCTCCCACTGTAGACAAAACTCCTGCCAAAGCCCATTTACAGCTGAGTGCAACAGAGTGTCAGCAGACTACAGACAGAGGAGGGCTGGGCAGTCAACAAAGCCAGACTGACTCTCTCCCGTCCACTTATCTCTCTTCTCATCTTAATAAGACCAGAGCAGCAGCAGCATCCATCCCACAAGGCCGTGCTGTCCGGGTCTGAGCCACAGTCTCATTAAGCAGACATATTGGCCTCCGCAGTACAAAGGGCTTCCTCTGGAGCTGACACTCGACTTGCTCATTTAAAACTGAAACGTCGACATCCTCGATGTGTGCCATCATCGATATCAGTAACCAGCACTCTGGGAGGGAGCGGAGGGGAGGGAGGGGTTCCACTTTTATTCACAAAGAGCTGCTGCAGCGAGTTGAAGACGAGGGCCGATGCGTGATTCAGATGTCGGATAGCGGGGCGCAGTGAAGAGGATCAGATCGGATCGCTGAATAGATCTCGATCTTTCATGGGCATTCAGATGTTCCTCTGTCTCTCTTATCCAATCAGATTCAATCCACTTCTCTTCTGTGCAATTCAAAGAAACTGCGTGGGATTAATTTTACAGTCTCCTAATCTCGATTCATAATCTTGATTGAGATATTTGCACTTTGTTGCAAACAGGGATAAAGTGAAACGTGAATTTCCACTTTTTACAAGTGATGTTCTGCAGTTAGGTCCTTTCATCCCATCTGATTTAAAAGATAAACTTAAAATAACCAACAAATATTTAAAAAAGCTAACACTAACTAGTTAGCGGCTACGAGTCAGACTTAAGACAATTAAAGTAGCCCAAAACTGTAAATAACGATGCTGGATGGTGAGATTAGAGTGGATTTATTTACTGTTGTCTTGAAGTGGTTTTCCTACAGATGTTTTATGTAAAGTAGTTTGGACCGTATCATCTCGCCACTCGCCCGTGCAGCCGGGCGTACAGTACATTGTCATCGTGTGGCTCTGACCTTGCTTTGACTGACAGTGATGGGAGACAGGTGTGAAGTTACTGCAGAGGAATCTGTCCTCCCTCAGGCTCCCGTCCCTCGTTTTGCATTTTGAACTCTTGAATTGGGACTTCGGTGAATGATTCTAACAAACAGTCCCACACTGCTGGACTCATGACCCACATTAGAGTCCTGGCTGTCCCCCAATGAACATCCACTGACCACAGCACACTGATGTCCACATGGTGACACTGAGGCAGTCTGGATCACACTGGACCGCATGTTCCTGGGTCGGGTTCTGTAATTAAGAGCCAAATCTCAAGCTTTGAACTGGTCAGATGATTGCAGGTCACTGTACCTTGGCAAACACGCAACATAAAAAAGCAGTAAAAAAGTTTTATATAGACTAATTCTGAATTTATGGACCTGTTTACTGTATTTAAGCCTACTATTACATATTCTCCAATGTGTCATCATATTTTTCTTGTATCTTGCTGCCTGCATCAGTCGATTTAAGGACGTATTGCAAGTATGGTTGCAATACATATAACAGTATAAGAAGTACTGAATAGTGTAATACCATAATGTATGGTGGAGACTCCTGTTGGCCTCCGCACTCTGTGCCTCTGTGGGATTCTGACATTTTACAGGAACGTCTCCTGTTTATATGAAGAAGATAACAATATTAAAAACCTCTCTTTTCTATTTCAGGCTGTTGCAGATTAAATCCGGTCGTCACATTGCAGCTGGACTTGGTCCTGATTGGCTCTCGTTGATAAAGAAATACTGAAACCGTCTTAACCAGGTAAGTCCCATTCATTCATTCATTCATTCATTCATTCATTCATTCATTCATTCATTCATTGGGGTCCCTGCTGCTTTCTTCCAGTCGTATCTGACACACATTAACTTTAAACATTATGATGATGGACGAGTGACTTCCTGCGGCTCTTGATTTGATTGGGTGAAAAATGGAACTTATTTTAGCTTTAATGATGAATCAGACAGCTCGGAGGGATGTGACGCGCTCTCTCTCTCTCTCTCTCTCTCTCTCTGCCTTCCCTCTCTCTCTCTCTCTCTCTCTCTCTCTGTCTGTCATCTATTTATCTCTCTCTCTCCCTCTCTGTCTCTCTCTCTCTCTCTCTCTCTCTCTCTCTCTCTCTGCCTTCCCTCTCTCTCTCTCTCTCTCTGTCTGTCATCTATTTATCTCTCTCTCTCCCTCTCTGTCTCTCTCTCTCTCTCTCTCTCTCTCTCTCTCTCTCTCACAGTGGCAATTTCAGATCCAGCAGTCAGACACCTGCGTCTCTATTTGATAAATATTGAATTTGCCAGAGTTAGAAATGGATCTCTAACAAGGCACACACACACACACACACACACACACACACACACACACACACACACACACACACACACAAAAAACACACACACACACACACACGTCATGCTTACATTTACATCCACACACACACACACACACACACACACACACACACACTCACTCTCTGTGTGTGTGATTCAGATCTGTGTGTGCTTCTATTTGCAGAGTCACACTGACAGAGTACACAAAGAAGGTGTGACAGACATGTTGATCTGCTGTGTACCGTGTGTGTGTGTGTGTGTGTGTGTGTGTGTGTGTGTGTGTGTGTGTGTGTACCGTGTGTGTGGAGCTGAACCTACAGAAACATGTGCGTATTAATTCCCATGTCACCTGGTACCAGAAAGCTTTTCTTAATAATAATGAACAATTTCCCAGCAGTTTTGTTTTATGCAGCTTTGACTGAGCTTAAACTCCTTTTTACCTTCCTTATTATTATTATGACGATATTAATATGACTGCAAACTTACACATTTTACATACGTACACATGCCGAATCGCCTTTATTCAATTCATCTACTTTCAGCTGTACGTCACAGTGAAAACAACAATAATTACTGTAATTTCACAGATAACGACTTTTATTACCCTTCTATAACTTTTAACATTCAGATGTTCGGATTCAGATTCAGATTATTTTTATTTGAGCAGTGTTTGCCTGTATTTATAGCTCATTGCATTGGCTTTACAGTGTTAATATCTTTAATTAAACATTAAAAAGACCCAAAATTACACAAGATTTAATGTCAAATTAAAGCTAAAAGTATTTCCATCACAGAAAATTACTGTATTTTTACGAGCCAGTTATTTTCTGTTAACAGTATTTTTTTGGCGCCCCAGCTGCCTGAATATTACCCTTTATTTTACAATGTGAGTTAACTGAGGGTACGAATGGACCACAACATGGCAACAGTGTCTGGTGTAATGCACTTCCTGTCCTCGATGCTATAACGCGGCCTCAGAACAGATTCCTACGCGTGTCTTTGTGGACGATACAGAAATGTGGGCGTCTTCGTGCCCGCCTTTGTCTCTGTCCTGCGTGTATCTGTTGTACTGCTTCGTATTAGCCTCCCGGTGAGCGAGGACGCATCTGTTTGCCAGCAGAAGACGAGCGTATCAAGGACGTTTCAGCTGCCTCTTAAAGCGGAGACGAGGACACTGACTGTCTGCTGCAGCTGTGAAGCCGAGCAGGGCATCAGCCCCGCCGCTCAGCAATAACAAAGGTTTTATAGGCAATGAAAACTAACAGTGGATAGCGTCTGATAGTGTTTGGGAGGTTCCATCAGAGGCTAATAGTGTTTATGGGCTTTTGGATGCCTCATTTGTTGCTGGTGCATCATTATTCTTTAAAAAGGACATAAAGTAATGAGAACTTTTAGAAAAGTTAAGATTTAGAAATACATTCACTTTTTTTATTTGAGGGGCCAAAATGATCACAATGCATTCCCCTCGTTACAGTACATTTCTAATGAGGTCGATTTACAGTTTGAAATGACTAAAACATTACAAGATAGTACAATAATAAAAATATATAAGAAAACAATATATTAAATAGATAAATAGATAGATATTAAAAATGAGTAAAAAAGTACAATTCATGTAAGATACAAAACAATTTGAGTGCAATGTTTTTCAATCATGAGTTTAAATGAGTTAAAGTGATTATTATGGTGCTTTATAAAGAGTTTCAGGTAGTCGGAGAACTAAAAGCAGATAGAAGTTCAGTACAAACTCGAGGAACTAAAGCGGGTCATTAGACCGTGTTTATTTCGGTCCACAGCGGTGGCTCCCAACCTTTTTCCTGGAAGAACCCTTTTCTATCATTAAGTAAACTCAGTGACATATTTTATTCCATATTTTATTAAAAACTGCACAATAAACCCAAACAGGGAACTCAGTAACTGCAGGAAGGTTGTTTAAAACGAGTGATTTGGGTGAATTCTGAGCAGATTATTTCCTGATTAGGGAACTTTTTATACAATTCTCTGTCTGTATTCTGTATTTTATATACATTTTAACAATCATACAGACTTAATCAGCTTCTTTTTGTCCAATTAAGTGTTTTCTTGTCCCTCACGTTTGACCATTGTTCTATTAGACAATTTACTTTTCTTCCCAGAAGTGAACCAGATACGGACGTATTGGCCCCTGGTGGGGGTCCTGACCCTCAGGTTGGGTACCACTGATCCAGAGGACCAATCTAGCATGGAAGAGATACAGGCTGGCATCTTTCCAATAAAAGCCCTGAAGATACAACAAACAAATACATATGCCCATCACATCTCTCAGACTGAGATATGTATTAAAATATAAAATATTGGCACAATCTTCCCACAGAGCTCCCATGATACATGCTTGACTGACAGGAGTAAAGATTTGTCAGATTACAATGTAATCTATGAACTATTGTAGATGTAAAAGTTCAATTATTATCATTGAAGCCTTTTGTAAAACACTTATGAGTGCCACAGACCACAGACCCATATTTGAGGATCACTGGTCTCGTCTTTCTGACTTATCGATCTTTTATCTGACTGAGGTTTGTGTAAGTTTGAACCTATGGCCCCGACCACGGCTCTGAAACATCAGCAGCCTCTCTGTGCTGTGTATTGATGAATCCGTGGCACTGTCCACGGGGCTGAAGCAGCACACAGATTTCTAATTTCACAATGGTCGGTCGCATTTTTTTAAATCACAATTTGCTGTATTAAGCTTGTTGAAAGTTAAAATTTGCACCTCTTGCTGTCCAAATTTAATTCCAATATTATTTACTGTTACTATTATTGATTTATCCACTGGACAAAGAATTAAGCACTATATTGCTGTACAGTTTCCAAACACATGTCACTAAATGACGTATGCCTTCGTAGATCTGCTGTGATCTGTAAATGGACGTGCAATAATGTGTGTTTCAAATACCGACGTGTTGTTGAAATGTCACTTTTCATCATCTGTTTTCTAAATGGATGGTTCAATAATTGTGAATGTTTTCTTTACATCAAAACATGTGGAGTTCTTGCTATTTATAGGTTATTATGCAAAGGTTTTACTGCCCTCTGGAGATCAGGTTGGCCTGTATGAGGCCCATGAACTGAAATGAGCTTGAGACCTCTGCTCTAAACTATGTTCTATAAATATTCTATAGCTTATATACCCTATAGAGAGTCACCTTCATGATCAAAATGTATAATTGCGATTGGATCCTAGAGGCACAGTGCTGCCTGTGTAATAATATTTCTATAATCATTTAATATTGTCTGAAAATACACGCCCAGTCCTCTGTAACAAAACACTTTCAGTGTCTGCAGATATAATTTCTACTGCTGGGTTAGGGTTTCTTTAAGAGACCCCTTTTCTATCGTTGATAATTTATAGACATTTTATATCATATTCAATGCATAACAATAAAGAGTACAGAACAGCAGTACACAATAATTGCAGGAGGTTTGTGTAACATGAGAAATGTCTTTATTTCTTTAATTCTGAGCAGATTATTTCCTCTGATTATTGATCAAAGATGATATTTTTAGGCACTTTTTATACAATTATTTGTCAGTCTTATGTATTTTTTAATCATTTTCAACAATCACACATACTTAACAGGCTTCATTTTGACGCCCTTTTGGTTGTTTAAACGTTTCTCTAAAATATGAATTTCATTTAGTTTTCTCCACAGAAATGAACAATAAGCTGAGATATAGGCCTCCTCTGTATCATTTTGAAGTTTTCTTACAGCCCCTTAAAATCCCAAAAGCCTCCCCCAGGTTGGGAGTATGAAGTATGAAGAGTGGGGCTATCACTGTGGTACAGAGTTCAGCAAGGGGACAGCCGATGGGAGGAGGCCGTTCCTGAGCCTGCTGGTCCTGGAACGCCTCCCAGAGGGGAGGAGGGCGAACAGCCTGCGGCCGGGTGAGCGGTGTCCCTGCGCCCCCTCCACACTTATAGATGACAACTCATCGCTACTGTTGTCCATCCATCCATCATCCATCTCGGGCTGATGACAATTTCCAGGAAGGATTTTATTCCTCCGTCTCTCGCCATGTATAATGTATCACAGGATTCATTTTTTAACGCTGTGATTGCTTTTCGCTTGGTAAACAATTTAGATGCAGAAGGACCGAGTCCTCTCCCCAGGGAGGAGCGGTGCGTTCACACAATATCCACAAACGGCAATTTTGACTGCCAATTGCTCAATTCACAGAGCAAAATCAAGCTCCTCGTTGCTGACTGAATGGGTTTTCAGCTGCGTTAAAGACGCGTCCCATGCATCGTCCCTTTGTGAGCCAGATCCTTCACAATTCACACTCAGCCATTGTTGTGGATTCCTGTGAGGGTACAAAATTAAAAGAACACTTTTCTGTCATTATTGTGGTTGTCATGTCAAACTCGAGATTACTTTTATAGAAGCAAAAGATTTTCACTGGCAG